TTTCTTACCTATTATCTGAACTTAAGCTCCTCCGCTCTGCTCCGGAAATTAAATTGTTAGTTAGTGGGTATAAAATTAATTTAAAAATTGAATCTTAAAACTTCTCTAATTGATTATATATAAATTATTCCTTAGATGGTAAGTACACCTGTAATAATTGTCTTTAAGTGATATTAGCAGGTTTATTTCTATTTTAGTTACAATCAAGTAGAGAGGAATCAGAAAAGAAATTTAGAGTAATTCTTTTTTGACAGTTTTTCATCATGGTTCAAAATTGTCAAACCTTGGAGATTTTACTGTCTTCATTATCTTTCTTGTAATTGTCAACAGGATTTTGATAACACTTCATAAATGTCGTCCTCTTGATTATTAACCTCATTTTTATTAGCCATCTCAGCATTTTGATGTGACATCTTCTCATTTCTGACTAAGCCTACTGTATTTTCTACTCTTTCTTCATTTTTCAAAGTAGTATGATATTAATGATTGATTTTTTAATTAAATTGTTCAGCTAAAGAAATAAAAATTCATTATCCTCATGAATTCTTAAATATGTGGGTTGATTATTATTATTTTTTTTGGTATTAATAAAGTGTTATTTACCCGACAGGCACTTACTCAATATCACAAGGGTGACAAATTGCTAAAAATATATACTTGCAGCTAACCTTAACCTTATGTGATGTCGGATAAGTGGTCTGTCAGGTAAATAACTTTCAGGGAATTTCGACAACCGTCTCGACAGTGATATCGTTCAAAGTAATTCTGATCATTGTAATTAGGGTCAAAATTAGAGTTAAGGGTTAGTGTAATTTATATAAAAATTTGTCGGTAAAAACGTACTGTCGGTGAAATAAACTTATTGATGAATCGTACTGTCTATGAAATGAGCCGACAGGCACTCTTAAATATATGTGGCTATCGTTTTAACAGGCCACATTCCAGCAATCCTCGTAAATTAAAAACCCATTTGAACTCAGTTATTACCTATTTATAGCGGCCGCCACTCAAATTATGCTCAATTCAAAATTTGGGTAGGGTGTGGGGTCGAACGAAAGTCAGGTTCACAGAAAGACAAATTTGGTGACTAACATTATTTAATAATAATAAAAAAAAAAAAATTTCTAGATATTATTCAAGTAAAGCAAGTTATTAATTTAATACTAATCATACTCATACTTACTAATACTAATGAATACCATCAATGATCGATCAGTCGAACATGTGACTGTAACCGGGAATGTCACATGTTCGATCAGTGGTAAGAGACAAAAGCTGGCTCGATACTTATGTATCAAGCAGCTCTTTATGCCTAACACGAGCATTTACAGATTCATATCATCGAATGATTTTGGTATTATTCTAATCGACTCTATGAGACGATTTGAATGATACATAATAAAATCATCCATGTCAGACCACTTGATTGGATGATGTACGAAAATCCATATAAAAAAAATTTTTTTTGTACGATGATTATGAAGTTGATCGACGCTGCTTCTAGTTTTGTGTGTCCATCTTTTATCTTATTTACGAATGCTAAAATAGAAATTAATATCTAGTATTGATAGCTACATTTAAGGAAACCAGCAAATCTGTGGCGTGACAAAGAAATTTCTTAATCGGAATTTTTAAACCGTAAAATGATTGTTTATAAGGTTATCAATTTTAATAAATCTTATTGGCTTGGTCAACATCAACAATACGTAATTTGTTATTTTTTACTGTTTTGGATAAAAATAAGCATAAAAAAAATTATGTATATATATACGTATATGGTTTTTTTATCGTTATACGTATAATTAACACAGAATTTAAAAAAGTAGATTTATTATTACAATTACAAAATGAGTTCCAAAACTTTTTTCGAGCAACTTTCTAATAATTTAAGCGAAGTTTTTAAAAATAGTGATGAATATAATGTTATTATCGAAGTTGGTCAAATTCCAAATCTTCAAACATTTAAAGTACATTCTATTATCCTAAATTCTCGATGTTTATATTTTAAAAACAAATTAAATGCAATTACTCATAATGAAGATGTGAAAATAATAAAACAAGATAACGTTTCTATTGAAGTTTTTGATATTATTATCAAGTAAATATTATTAATTGCAGTATGTAATACTTTATGTAATACTTAAATTTTAAAAGTACTAACAAGTTTATATTATATGTAGATATATTTATGGTGGCACTATTTCATTAGAAAACATTAATACTTCAATAATTTTTGAACTTTTAATTGCTTCTAGTGAATTTGGTCTTGAAGAGTTAATTAATTATACTCAATCATTTTTACTTCAGAATAAGGCTTCATGGTTACGTCTTAATTTTTCACGAGTTTATCAAATTAGTTTTAAAGACAATAATTTAAAGGATTTACGACAATTTTGCGTAGATATTATTGTTAAACATCCAAATATTATTTTTGATTCGGATGAATTTGTTATACTTTCAGAAAATATCTTGCTTTTTATATTAAAGCTTGATAATTTACACATGGATGAAGGAATAATTTGGGAATATATTATCAAATGGGGAATTGCTCAAAATCATTCACTACCTTCCAATATTGATCAATGGTCTGATGAACACTTTTCGATTTTAAAAAATTCTCTTAGAAATTGTCTACCTTTAATTCGTTATTTCCACATTTCTGGTGAAGATATTGTTGAGAAAGTTAAACCTTATCAGAAAATTCTTGATCCAACTTTATGGGATGACATTACGCTAAAATTTATGGCACCAAATAAAGATATTATTACTTCACATATCTTACCACCTCGTACAAGTTTGCTTATAACGCTACCTCCACGAGATAGTATTCCTATTGTTGATAATAATACATCAGAAATAACATCAGAAAATAGTAGTGAATCACTTATGGACTTTAACGAATTGAAAAAACGCGGAATCATTTATTATGAAATGAAAAAATTTAAAGAATCACTTGCAGATTTAAATAAGTATTTAGAAATTGAACCAAATGATGCATTTACATTAAAAATTCGGGGTGATACTTATCGTATGATGGGTTGTTATGAAGAATCACTTGGGATTTAAATAAATCATTAAAAATTGATCCAAATAACTCATGGGCATTAAGCGTTCGTGGTGCTACTTGTCGTGCGATGAATAGATATGATGAATCACTTATCGATTTGACAAAGTCTTTGGAAATTAATCCAAATGATGAATATGTATTAATGCAACGTGGTGAAACTTATTGTGTGATGGAAAGATATATTGAATCGCTTGTAGATTTAAATCAATCTTTAAAAATTAATCCAAATAATGCGAGTGCATTAAGTATGCGTGGTGCAACTTATCGAATGATGAGAAAATATGAAGAATCGCTTGTAGATTTAAACAGATCATTAGAAATAGATCCAAACAATGCATGGACATTAAAACAACATGAAATAACTAATCGTTTATTAAATAAATAAAAATCACTACAAATTGAAAATTTCCTGTTTTAAAAATTTATAAATCTTATTAACTAAATTGTTGAATTGTCGAAATTTTATGCAAAAAACACTGAATATTGCCCCATTATGTACTTGCTAAAAAGCAGACTTTGATGTACTGTTATTGCCTTGTGATGTGGTATAAGTACTACTTATCGGAGTTATTATGCTATAAAAGGCTAGCTTTTTAAAAAGCTTAAACGTTTTGTTTAAATCAAATAAGTAAAAGTTTCAGTTTAACTCTAACGCTAGGCTCAAAATCTCTAGAAAACTTAGGTACTATAAGCAATAAAACGTTTGTGGATAAGTAATAAAACATTTGTGGATTTGACGACTGCATAAAATAATTTGCACAATATATATTTGTTAAAATGTCTTTTAAATCACAATTTAGAATATATTGAATAAGTTATGACATTATAACTTGTACGGTTTTATCAAGATTATTTTCGAAAATACAGAAATAGTGAAAACAAATTATTAAACCGACTAGAAATTGCACATGAAGGCGGCTTCGCCGCCCAGTTTCAATTCATTAATAATTTAGCATACTGTACTTGAATGTGAATTTTAGTCGAACCATTTTATTCTTTAATTTTCATCAGTTAAAGAATAAGCTGGGTAAATTTTTTTATATAATTAGACGTCAAATTTATTATAATTAAAGCTCATTAAAAAATCACTTCCAAATATTATATTTTTATGTTCATAAAAAGCATGGCTACTAAAATTTTCAAATTGTTGCTATATTCGCAAAATGCAAAATAAAAAATTTAAAGATATATCGTTTAAATAGATTTTTTTTTTTTTGATATGTATCTTGTAATGAAATTTTTTTCTTAGTTTGTAGTTCTTTAGATAATGTTTCATTAACATATAAAACATATTATATAAAAAGTTATTAAATTAATCATATAAATTATTATGCTTGTTAAATCATGATTTAATTTTCTTTATTAAATAAAACACAAATTCGTCAAATCATCTCTATATACGTATTCATTAAAGAATTTATTATAAAAATGGTTTACCGATTGCAAAGTGGCACAAGTACATTAGGGGGTTTTAAAGTTAAAAAAAAGTGACGTATTTTAAAACAAATAGAAATTTGAAAAGTCTTATTTGGGCTTCAAAATTTTGAAATCGGAATGTGAAATGGGAGTGTCTGAAGATCCCCATTTCATGAAATCAGTGTAGTCATTATTACGTTATCATTATTACAAATATTACAGTATCATTATTACAAATATTGTTGTATACAATATTCTATATTACTTTACAAAAAAAAAAACTTTCGTTCAAATATTCAAAGCATTTTATTTCTTTTAAAATATTCGGATATTGTTAAACTGTCAATAATTCAATAATGCCTCCAAAGAGAACATTTAAACAAACCACCAAAGAACAAAAACTTGCAATGGTCATATTTGTAGAAAATCCAAAAAATTGATCTATTATCGATGGAAAAGCAGCAGTTGGTGCACCGGTTGGTGGGAAACCTGTAAAAAAAATGCAAGATTTGCACAAATGGCATCATTTGTAAACAAACACTGTAAAGATAGCCAGTGGAATGCTAAAATAGCAAATGGCTGTTGGTGTACATATAAAAAGATATATATGGAAACTCGAATGTTAGCTAATAAATCTGGATGGGGATTAACCGAAGATCATAAAAAAGGGATTATAACTATAGAAGCTAAATTGGATGAATTATGTTCATATTTTAGTCGAATTGACACTATTTATAGAGAAAAACAAAATGTTCAACCTTCTTTTCTTGAGAATTTCAGATTAAATAATGAAGATAATATAAGTGAAACTTCGATTGGTAAATATAAATTTAATCTTTATAATTAATTTAACTTACTATTACAGTACTATAATTAATTATAATTTTATATACATAGAATCGAATGATATTCAGGAACAAAATGATGAATTACAATCTGATAAATATTATATATTTAAAAATTCTATTTTGAATTATTTAAAATAAATATTTTATTTAAATATATTTATTTTTAAAAGATTACAGTAGATGAAATGAGAAATCTTCATTGTCATTTATATTAGATGATATTAATTTGAATGATGAATTTGATAATGATTTATTAAGTAATAATTTTATTAATTTATATAAATTGTATATTTTAAACAATTTATATAACCAACTCTTTTCATAGATCACTTATACCAAAACTACCAAAAAACATTTGATTATTTCTCAACTTTTTACTAAGCAAACCTTACTTGATCTCTTATGTAAAGTTGTTCAGCACACTTTTCTCATTCCAGACGATTGTGTTTTATTTCTCAAAAACATCTGGCTGTTAAGAAAAGTCTCAAAACCAAGTTTTTGGATTTGTCTATATACACATAATTTTACTAATTAAACATACTTTCTTACCTATTCAAAAATTGTTCAGCTCATTGAGTTGGATATTTTGATATATATTTTATTAAAAACAGACCAAAACTCATAGAGATACAAGTGAAAAAACTAAAACAAAAACTTGCTCTTTGTAGGTTTTTTTCATAGACAATTTTAGGAAAATTTACTGGGTACCCCAAAAATTTTACTTTTCTGGTACCTATTAGAATTTCCTAAACATCCAATAAGCTTATCTGAAGCTTACATACTTTTCCAAACTTTTCTAACTAGTCTAGAAACTTCTAAATTAAACAAATTTTTTTGTAAAATGTACTTAAAAATCTATTTTTAGAACAAAATGCCAATCTTGATAATAGTTGCACCTGATATCATTGACCTTGACTATTTTTACCAAAAGTGTTCTAAAAGCTTTGGTATTGGTATCTTTGAAAATGCAGCTAATACATCATGTCCTATTCCTACAAATAAGTAACCAAAAAATTACTCAAATACAGAACTTAGAGAAGGAATCAAAAGTTGCTATTACTTCAAAGCACCTAAATCTAGTTCGATTGTTACTTGTTTCTGTGACAAGTTCCATATTCATTTTATATCAACTATCAACCAAACCTACAAACGAAATGAAGTCATCCTTATTAACAAAAAATCTAAAGATAAAAAAGCTTTACTAAACAACATCATAAACTCTACTAAATTTATTCCTTCATCACCAACAGCATCACCTTCCCCTATTACACACAACCACCAAGGTGCTAAATGTAACTTGCCTATTGCTTGCAAAGAAATGAATAACCAACATTATTTGACAGCAGATGCAATTTTATATAATAACAAACCTCATCACAAAGCTTGTGTAAATATTCAACAACCTACTCAACAACCAAGCTCCTCTCCTATATTCATTCAAAAACTTCAACAAACAATCAGTTCCTACAACTCATTAGTATCCGAACTCATATTTACAACCTCACCTAGCAACAACAATAGTACTACAAATGACATGAATTTAGATAATAATATTATTAACAACAATATCAACAATAACCAACTACAACATTAACAACAACAACAATAACCATTATATCAAAACCCTTTTTATTCTAAGGAACAAAGCAATAACAGCAAGAAACAAGTAAACAACAACAAGAAATAAACAAATAACAACAACAAACACAAACCAATACAACTAATAACTAACCAAAAATTAAAGCCAATCCAATATTTGACTGGCTTGCTAATTTTCCAATTTCTGATGACATAAAAGATAAATCACAACTCCAAACAGAATTTTTTAGAAAAATCTTTAACTTTCTTAAATCCTACTTATATGACTTTTATCTCGATAAAGAAATTAAACCTGAAACTTCTAAACAAAAGGCCCTTAAAGCTAGTTTCTACTATATTATTTGCAAAATAGCTAGAGACAGACCCCAGTTTCTTATCGATTTTATTCAACAAACCAATCCTAATACAGATAAAGCAATTACAATTCTTTTCAACATTCTTGAAGAAACACTCAAAAAACTAATTCTAGCATTTACAACAATTCTATTTACAAAACTTAACTACTCTAAAATCTTTGCTTCTTCAGCGACTATTCCTCCATATACCAACCAAAACTAACTTCAACTTTGCATTAATTTAGCTTGTATTTACTTATATCTATCTAATAACTACCAAGTTATCGATTATATTAAATTTGCTGAAGACTTTCAATTCTGATCTAAAAGATTTAATATAACTTCAAAAGTATCTGATTTTGACAAAGACAAGCAATATGTTATAATTAAATCTAATAGCAAATTCAATATTTATTTTGACTTCAATATTCCAAAAACACTTTTTTATCAAAAACTAAATATTCCATCTCTTGCAAACTCTTTAGACTATTTAAAACAATGATTTAAACAATTCTTTCCAACATACAACCGTCAATTCTCTCAACCATTAGATGAAACTAAAGTTTTCAACTTTCTAAAATACCAAATTCGACAGAAATTTATTCTTCATCTTACTGAAATTTTATCAACTATAATAAATTTTCAACAACCTCATAATTTACAAGAATGTCATAACAAAATTATAA